TGGAGTGCTGCCTGCTGCCCATCGGAGGTCTCCTGGCAGAGGAGGGGAGGGAAGGGGAGGCACTGCTGCCATCCCTGGGCAGCACCCTGCAGCACAGCCAGTCCTGGAGTGACCCACCAGCTGATGGGCACCACGTCAGTTCCCAGGGCAGCCCCTGGTCCAGGAGATAGGCCTGGTGACTTGAGGGCTGCCTAGGAAAGAATTTGAGGATTTGAAACTGGATCAAAGAGATTTCCGTACATACATAACTGGTTCAGAATAATCAATCCCTATCATGGACTGGGAAGAACCCAGGAGACAGGAGGAGACACCAGAGCAGCTCTGGGTGGGGCAGCCAGGTGCATGGGTAGCTCCTCCTCGGAGCTTCTCTCCAGCTTCCCAGGAGCCAGCACAGCCACTGGCAATCAAAGCCCAGCACCCTGCAGCTCAGAGGCCACCCACCTGCACCAGGAGCAGTCCTTCACGTCAAACCGCAGGAGGTCGTTAAGCATCGTCTTCCTGAAACACAGCCAGTGGGGGTGGGGTTGGTCCCAGTAGGCTCTTTGGGGTGGTGCCTGTCCAGAACCGGGGAAGTGGACACGGTGGCCCAGGGGACTGGGGGATGGGGCTTGGGGACTTAGCCAGGGGCAGGCAACCAGCCAATACCCGAGGGCCCAGAGCAGTGACCACAATGGAAGCCCCCCAGCTGTGCAGGCACCAGAGCCGCTACCAAGCCAGGATGGCCTCCTGGTCAGGACCAGGGGGCCCTCCTGGCGGCCCAGTGGCTGCCTAAGTGCTCACACCTCACCCCAGGCTCCAGACACCTGCAGGTCTGCACACCCCCCTTCTCTGAGGCTCGGCCACCGCAATGCAGTTGCCCACATCCCAGGGGAGGGCCCTTCCCTCCTCTCTGATCTTCTTGCTACATCTTTGTGGCAAATCCAGTGTTAACAACCACATTAAAGATAACAAATCCATGGGCCACCACTGTAGGCAGACCCTCGTGCCACCGCCCAGCCCTTGTCAGTGAGTGGGAGGAAAGGGCACCATCCCTTGCCAGGTCTCCAGGGGATGTGCTCTCCACCTCCGTTTACAGAAGAGGAAATCGCTGCGAGATAAAAGGGCCTGTCTGAGGTCAGACAGCCAGGAAGCCCAAGGCGGAGAAGCAGAGGTGTGACTGCAATCTCTCCCATTTGCCTGCCAGCGCCCCCCGCCACCCGGCCTGCGCCCACACGCTGCAGGCAGCCATCTTTCTTTGTACCCAGCCAGTCTTTACGAAGTTGCAACTAGAGTGAGACAGATCTGTATCCTGTTTCTTAGTGTCACATTGTAGCCAAAAACACTTCTGCTTGTTGCTGTGCAGCTGTCAAGCAAACTCTACTTGCCAGGGAACTTGACTCCTGGGGGTGCTCCCACTCACCACCCCGTGCAGGACACCAGCCTCTTTGGTTTGGGCGAATCTCACTAAGGCTGCAGTAAACTTATCAGTGGGCAGATACCTCTTCCAAATATCATTCCTTCATGTGACAAGCATTTTATTGAATTGTCTGGGTTACAGGTCCTGCCCCGGTGGGGCAGACAGATAATAAATACCTCTGGGGCCAATGGAACGGTAAGAGGTGCAGAAGGGAAGGGCTGCCAGTTGGTCCAGCTGGCAAGTGGTCAGGAAGGCCTCGCTCACAGAAGATTCAGGAGAGGGACAGAGAGGCCCGGAAGGAGGGAGCAGCCAGTACAATGGCCTCAGCAGAGGGATGTGTGGTGAATCAGAACCGAGCAAGGCAGGGTGTGGCCCAGTGCAGTGCAGGGCAGGGGGCAGGGGTGGCCTGAACGTGTAGGGCCCTGTGGCCACCAGGAGGGCTTGAGCCTTCACTCCGAGAGAGGTGGGGAGACATCCCAGGGCTATGAGTTGCGGACGAACACCTCTGACTTGCATTTCCAAATGGATTCCTCTGGCTGCTCATGGGGAAAGAGGCTGTGGGGGAGACAGGTCGGAAGCTAGAGATCACAGCCAAGGAGATGGTTCTGCCCCATCTGCAGATCCCCAGGGGCTCCTGCATAGCCCACCAGCAACAAGTTAACCCCCAGAGGGCCCCGCAGGACAGAGCCTGCAGCACGAATCAGAGCCTGCCCTTCCTGGGCTTCAGGCCAGGTCCTTTGGTTGTGAGACAAGACAGGATCAGTTGTGCGCAAACACCGTGCCCTCGGCCTCCATCCTGATTCCCTCAGGGCCTTGTGCCCACTGGCCCTCAGGAGCACTTTTGCAAAAGCAGGGCATGTGGCTGCCCCCACCGGGCAGAGCCCAGAGTGCATTTAGTGCCATTAAACCACCTGCCCACTCCCAAAGTCAGAAAACTAACTTCATCTTAGCCCTGACCATCCGGAGACCAAGCTTCAACTCTATATCCAGGAGGCTCCCAACCCTCCCAGACCCAGAAGCCATCTGGTGGGCATCCCCAGCCTCTCCTGAGCACACTGATGACCAAGGGAGGGAGGGACACCCTGCCCAAACTCCAGGCCTGGTGCTGTCCTGCACCGTCTGCCTCCAGGCCCTCGCCCGTGCCCATCCCTCTGCCTAGCGCACTATTCCCTGGTGCCTGGCTCATTCTCACTCATCTTTCAGGTCATCAATGTCTCCAGGAAGGCTTCCCTGACCAGACCAGACGCCCCCTCTCCTGGTCCAGAACAAGCATGCCTAGTAGTTGACATGGCCTACCACACATTACAATAGCTCTTCCCCTCTGTATAAACCCAGCTCCTGGGAAACGAGTTGTAGAGAAGAAAACACACGAGGAGAAAGAAGAGGATGCCCAAACCAAGAGTTCACCTTGGCCATTATAATAATAAGAGTTCACCAAACAAAATCAGCCACAACTGGGACAGTTCCTGAGATGGAGGGGTGTCCACTAACAGAACATGGGGTCATTGCCAGGAACACTGTTTGCCAGAAATTCATGTGGAAAAACCCTTACAGAAAGTGAAAAATGCAGGAAATGAATAAAACTTCTCAGCTGCATGTATGTGGATGAGGCCCAGAGAGCAGTGGCAGGGAAGGAAAAGTGCCTGGCGAGGGGGCAGCAGAGCAGAAGTGTTTCTTTCAAAGCTGTGTTCACCGACTCAGAGCAAGAGGGACATCTCCACGTCCTGAGCGTGTGCTACCCACTCCAGGATGTGCTGAGGGCTTCGCGTGCAGGGAACCTCACAGACTGGGAAACTGAGGCTGAGTGCTTAGCTAACACCTGGAAAGATATCAGTGAGGCTGCAGAGGCCGGGTCTGGACCACCACGCTTCTCCCTCCCGGTCCAAATACCCTGATGCTCAGAATCACTCACCCATTGTCTCCACCAAACACATAGATGGCGTCTTTATAGGCCACCACTGTGTGTTTGCTGCGCCTGCAAAGAAAGGAGGGATGTGTGGGTGGTGGTGAGGCCAAGACCTCTTGGGGACACCCAAAGAATGAGACGTAGCACCAGGGCTGCCACCTAAATTGGTTAATACCACTTAACTGCCCAGATCGAAGGGGACTCCTAAATTCCACCAGTACCCCCAAAGGACCCTGCATGTGAGGACCCCTGTCACTGCCTTAGGACTCTCTGTACTCCCCCACCCGACTACAGAGCATGTGGGACACCAGCTTGAGACCCACAAACCCAGCTTAACTCTAGTACCTTGCTCCAGGCAACCACATTCCGTCAGAGCCCTCTCCCCTGCCTTGGACACCACCATGACCCCCCAGCTCCCATCACCGGGTCCCACCCCAAGGCACCTCGCCCTGGCCTCCTCCCTAGATCGCCTGACACGCCCTTTCCCCAAGCCCCCCGGAACCCCGCCGTACCGGGCGCCCACGAACTCGTCGCAGGGCGGGAGGCGCCGCCAACGATGCACCGTCTCGAAGGGCCCGAAGTTGAGCGTCAGGTACTCAACACTGTCCGAGCAGCTGTGGTCAAAGTCCACGCTCGGGGCCACCTTGGACCGCGCGCCGCCGGCCAGGGCCCCGGCCCCGATCGGGCCCCCCGAGCCACCCGGCCCAGCCATCCCGGGTCCACGCCCGATCGGCCGCCGGGTCTGCTGGACGTGCGGCCTCCGCCCGGGGCCGCCCCGAGGGACTACATTTCCCGGCGAGCCCTGTGCCCACCGCGAGACACTTCCGACCCGCGCGGCTCTCGCTTCCCGACAAGCCTAGCGGTGCCGGCGACTCCGCGGGCCGGCGCGGCGGCTGCGACGCGTCCTAGCGGCTGGCGTGTAACCTTCTCGGAAGCACTTCCCGAGAAGTACGGGCGCCCAGCCGCCCCTTCCAGTGACCGCAGCGTCCACTCCCCAGCCCCGTAGGGAACGCACTTCCCGGTGCCGGTCAGGCTCACGCTGCCCGGAGTTCCCGGCATTCCCTGCCTGCGCGGGGCTCGGCCTTGATCGTCCGCCGCTCCCGGGACCCCACGTGGCGGGTTCCGGGCCCCCGGCGGCCTACGTGGGAGCCAGCCTATTCCCTTCCTGCTTGCGCCCCCAGTTCTGGCCCCCGGCGGCCTCCCTCAGCATTCCTATTGGCTGAGTGCCGCAAAAGCTCTCCATTCTCTCTCTCACTTAATAGCAGAGCCGCAGTTTCTCTGGATTCTCAGTCTAGTCAATAGCACAGCCTGCAAAATGGAGATTCAGAAAGCTCTGCCTGGCCTGAGAAGAATGGTGTCCATCTCAGGACCCAGGTCCTACAGCCCCAGGTGGGCAAATGCCCCAGACTGCCAACGGGAGCTGCCTCCGACCTCTGAAGAATCACTGCTCATCTCAAGACCTTTGTGCGTGCTGTCCCCTCTACCTGGAGTGCCCCTTCTTCAAAATCCTGATCCAAGACACTTAGAAAAGCCTTCCCTAACGCCAGGAGCAGAATCAGTTGCTTCCTCCTCTGGGTGCTCATAACCCAAATTTCCCTAGTGTGGCACTGAGCATTCATTCTGCGGTTGTGCCTGTCTCCCCGTCTTTTGCTTTCTCCCTCATGAGTGTGCCCAATTACAGTGGAAGTCACACAAATCTGCAAATGTGTGCGTTTTAATTTTAAGATAATGTCTAATGTGTTGCAGGGTCCTACAGGGGACTGGTCCCAGTACAGGGAGACAAGGCAAGGCCTGTCCCGCCTCCACTGCCAGCCATCAGTAGCAGCCCAGGCCTTGCAGGGGAAGCAACTCCTGGAGGCAGCAATGGCCTCTGTGGAGGTGAGCCAGGCAGCCCACGGCAAGCACTGGGAGGGCTCAGGTTTTGCCCTGGGGGAATCCTGGGAAATTGTGGAGGTTGGCACCTGCCCCCAGGACTTGGTCTCTGTCCCTGGTGCCCCAGGGTGCCTGCCCAAGTCTGCTGCATGCGAACTCAGGATCCTTTCCCTGTGAGCCAGGACATGTCGCCGGTCCTGCAGGAATGAGGGAAGGAGTCAAGACAGAAGAGAGCAGGTTCCCCACTGGGCACCACGAGCAGCTAGCTGGTCCTTGAGGACAGCAGGGGGCTGCTCTGTGCCAGGCCCTGGTGCCCAGCAGAGATGTGGACTTGGGCAGAGGAGGGGTAGACCGTTTGGTGCAGGCTCTGGGCTGAGGTGGGAAAGGCTCAGAATGGTCAACAGGAAGCAGACGACCACATACTTGCTGTGCAGCACAAACAGCCTTTTTGAAGGCAAGAGGGAGAGACAGAGAAGGCCAGGGAGAGAGCATGTCATTCATCATGTCCCCTCTGAGTTCTCTGTTGTTCCTAACCTGAGACCTGTTCCTATCCCACGGACTCCATGCTTTCCCCAGTCAGTCCCTGGGAGCTCTGTAGGTAGGCTGAGTCCACAAGGTGACTCCCACTGGCACCACGACCAAATGAGGTAATGGCTGGTATCCAGTGTCCCCCAGATGGTGAACAACTACCCTACATCTCTGTGCAGGCCATCTCCAAGGGTATCATTAGCTGAAGTTTCCCACCTAGCTTCTGCAAGGCTCAGCACCACCATGTGCAGTCAGGTGTCTCGGAGCAGGTGCCTGCTCAAGCAGTGGGCCTTGACCCTTCCCACAGCGCTGGCCCTGCCTTGGGATACAGCCTCTTTCCCTTCTAACCCCAAGAACTGATCCAAGACAAACAACCAGTGTATTCCCAAACCACAACCCTTGCCCCACACCACCCCATAGCCCTGATGCCCCACAGACTGCTGGGGACCAAGAGTGGGCAGAAGGGTCCTGGAATGCTGTGGGAACAGCTGGCTGCCATGAGTAGCTTGATACAGTCCCTTGGGGGACTTCTTCCCCACCCCCAGGCCTCCGATGCCCACACTCACTCCACCTCCCGCTTCCGGATGGCACGGCCTGAGGCCAGCACCTCGGCAACCTTGGACACGATTGGATCGTAGTTCATGCTGGCAACCGCGATCACCTCGTCGCCTCTGCAGGGAGAGGGTGGCTGGGCCTGAGGACTGCCCAGCAGCAGCCCCTCTTCTTGGAGACCCTGATGCACTTCTGTCCTGGGGTCCAGGGAGGAATCTTACCCGGAACAACAGTAACGCCCTGAGCACTCAGCCCTCCTGGCTTTGCCTTTTAAGGCTTGGCCCAGAGTGGGCTTTGGGGTCCTTGCACGACCCTCGCGGAGGCTCCAGCCTTCCTCCTCAGTGGGGTTGCCAGGGCTGGGCTCCCATTCTGGGATACCCACTCCCTTTCCTCAGTGTAAAAGCAGGTGTCGCACCCATTTCGGTGTCCTTAAGTTAAAACACCCTTCCTCGGTGCGTGGCAGCTGGCGTGATCACTGCCCCATTCCTCACCTTTCCGCCCCGCGCCTCCTGCCTAGCTGCCTCCCTTTGCCGCTCGGTCCACCTCTCAGGTACGCCCCCTCCTCTGGAGCAGGGCTTCTCCGGAGTGAGGTCCCCTTCCCGACCGAGCTCCCGCTGCCTGGCGCCCCGCTCCACCCGTTGTTCTCACTTGGTGTAAAAAGCCACGAACTTCAGCTCCTCCAGATCCCCCTGGATGATGACGTCGTCGAAGCCTTCTCCGTACCCTGCGGGCCGGGCAGGCGGGCGGCGATCACGTGAGCCCGGCGCAGGGGAGCGGCGCCCCCGCCCCCAGCCAGTGACTTGAGCATCCATGGCCCCGCCCCCGATCTTCGCCACACCTCGGCCCCGCCCCCGCCCGGGGCCCCCGTTACCCGCGTAGCGCAGGCTCCTGCCGAACATGGCCGTCCACAGGTAGGGAACAGTGCTGATCTCCGCCTCCTGCGCCAGCATGTTCTGGGCCGCCACCCGCCCTGCGGGACCCGAGGTGGTGAGGGCCCCGACTCTAGCCCTCACCACCCCTACACTGCCTGGCCACATCTCTGGGGACTGACCCCCACCTTGTGGGGCTACTTCTCAACTCCGGAGAGGTCAAGTCATCGTTGCTCAGCCCGCGGCGCGCCCTGGGTTGCAGCTGATTGGTGCAGAGGGGACACCTGGCTCCAAGCTAGCCACTTAGATTGCTTCTCTAGAGAATTTGAACGGAAACGTGGGGTTGTAGGGTGCCTGGCAATTTCAGGTGTGCTCGCAGACAGCTAATCCGACACCTCAGGTCTGAAGCGGGAGGCAGGAGGTCGGAACACAAGTGTCCAGGGAAGGAGACAGGACGGCCACTCCCCAGGGCCCCGGAGAGAACATCAGGGTGGTGTCCCAGTTCATAGGCGGTCCCTGCACCCTTTAGCCGGACGCCTGAGAGAACCCCCTGGACATCCCGGTTAAACCTCACTCATACCCGTCTGACGACAAGCGGCCTGTGGTTCCTTAAAACCTAGCACCAACTTTAGACCTTGGACCTAAACGAAACTTGGTACCCGGAGTGGAGTTTCTGGCAGTAGACACTCAGATAATGTGAAGGCAGAGGGCAGGGGAGGGGCAGGGATTCTGATGCCCCCCCTGGGGCAGCTCGCTTGCTGTCACCAGCAGCTTAGGGGCCCAGACCAGCCGTGTGCAGTGAGGGAGGCTGCAGAGGCTTGGTGACCCGCTGCGGGGGGTGGGGGTGGCGGACGCATTCCTCAGAGGGCACAGCAGCTCCCCACTGAGTCCAGGCTCCCAGGCCCAGAGGGCAGCGCCCCAGGGGCCTACATGAAGCCAGAGCCACAGATCCAGTCAAGTGGCCCATTGGAGACAGAGGCACTCAGTGGGGAGCTGGCCCATGTCCTTCTACATCCCTTTCCTCTCTCCCCAGGTGCCTGAACAGGGGGGTGAGGGATTATGCAGAATGTGTGTCTGTAAGGACAAAAGGACAGGAGAGGCTGGTGGAAGGGTGGCCGGGCTGGGGCACTTCCCTGGCTGGATGGGGTGTCCTCGGGGTGCTGGAAGGAGGGCTCTGGAGGTGGGCCACAGGGCTTGCCCTGAGCTGGCTCTATCGCTCCGATAAGGCTGGACACACAGGCCACCACAGAGCCTGCAACGACTAACCCAGTGACCAGGACCCAAGGCCAGCAATGGAGGGGTGGCAGAGGGGAGGCTGAGACTCCAGGACAGCCTCCCGCCCCTGACCTTGCCATGGGGCTGGCCATACCCTGCGCATGAGCCATCTGCCAGTGTGGGATATTCACTTTCCTATTGTTCCTCCAGGCCAAGGGGAAGGTGACAGCATCGCCAGCCGCAAACACGCCTGGAACATTGGTCTGCATCATCTGTGGGGACAGGGTTGGGGCTCTGCATCCCAAGATGGCCTGCACCCGCCACCCGGCCCCCAGCCCAGCACCCTGCCAGCCCCACCCAGCCCCACCTTGTTGACTGGGATGAAGCCCCGGGAATCCAGATCGATGCCACTCTGCCTCAGGAAGCCCGTGGCGGGCACAGCGCCTGACAGGAGAGGGGCCTTCTGCTCCCTGGTCTCCCCCTGCCCAGAGCCTATGTGCCCTCCATGACCCACAGTGCAGTCCAGCGGTCCAGCCCCAGATGGCCGCCCAACGGGCTGCCCGCCTGCAGGGCCTTCATGTGCCTGTCCCCTCTGCCCGAATGCCCACAGATGCCCATGCCTCCCATCAGGCCTTAGGCATCATCCCCTCTGAGAAGTGCTCCATGAAGCCTGCTGGGGTGGCAGGTCAACATGCCATGGCTCCCCAACCCCTGTGCTGCCTCCTCCCAGCTTTGTCCCTGCCCAGACTGGCACTTCAAGTGGACCAGGGGTCAGCCTGAGGCTTGTGTCCCCCACCTGCACAGGACACACAGGACAGGAATCAAGTGTTAGTGGGCAGTGATCATTGGGAGCACCCTCTATGCCAGGCCTGGGATAAGGCTGTTATGCCCATTCCCCATGTGAAGTGGATACAGTTGGGGTCCCCATTTTAAAGACGGGGAAACTGAGGCTCAGGGAGAGGAAGGGACTGGGCCAAGGTCACTCTCAAGCATGTGCCAGTGGTCCTACTCACTAGCACCCACTGTCCACCCACTCACCAATGCCCACAACACAGACGTCAGCCCGCACGACCTTGCTGCTCTTCAGCACGACCTCCTTCAGCTGTGGGGAGGGGGCAGGTGAACAGATGGGCCAGCTCCACGGCACCGTGGGGAGGGGACTGAAAGTGGCAGGGGGCCGGGAGAAGGTCTCACCTTTCCTTCCTGGGCCCGCAGCTCCAACACCTCCGTTTGCATGTAGAATTTGACCCGGTTGTTCTCAAACATCTGTCAGAGCAGGTGGGCAGGTGATGAGAGCTCAGCCGGAGGCCGAGCTGGGCTCCCAGGGTTCAGAGGGTTCAGAGGGTCCAGGTGCTAGGGTGGGCTCACCTTCATGAGCGCGCGACCCACACGCTCCCCCAGGAAGCGCTTGAAGGGTGTCTCCTCCAGCTCCACCACGGACACTGAGTGCGCCTTCTCCACCAGATAGGCAGCGACCTCCATCCCTGGGGCCAGGGTGGTGGGCAGTGGGTTGGCACCCGCACTTCCCAGGGTCAGGGTGCCCTGGGACTGGCCACCGTGGCCTGAAGCCCTGCCCCAGCTGCTCACCCAGGAAGCCGGCCCCCACGATCACCGCACTGCGGCCCCGGGCCAGCCTCACCACGCGATTGGCATCATCGGGTGTCCGGATGGTGAACACGTTCTCCACCTCTTTGCCTTTGCAGCTCAGAGTCTTAGGGCTGAGATGTGGCCAGTGTCAGTGAGGGGCTCCTGGCACCCCAACCCCTCCCGTCCTGGCTGATGTCCTGTCCAGTGTAAACGGGGTGAGGGAGATCCCCTCCCACCTGCTCCCCGGTGCCAGCAGCAGCTTGCTGTACTCCATCTTGAAGCCGTCCTTGAACACGACTTTCTTGTTTCTCATGTCCACCGTGACCACCTGCAGCCCCCGCCGCCAGGAAGACCACGGGCCTGGGCATGGAGCTGGGTCTGGCCACCCAGTCCTCCAGAGCCCAGCCAGCTTCTCCGGGCCACCCCCCAGGGGCCGTTCCTTCCCCTGGGCACTCTTTCCTCCCTCACCTGGCAGCTCCTTCTCACCCTGTTCAGAGTTCACCTTCCCCTCAACTCCCTCCCTGCGGTCCCGAGGTTCACCAGTGCTCCTGCCCTGGCCCGGGCACACAGCCATGCCCCCACTCACTGGGACTCTGCATGTCCCCACCAGGGAGCTCATCCAGGGCTGTCCCCAGGCCTGGAGCAGCCCCAGGGGCCTGGGAGGCCAGGCCAGGAGGGCAGAGCATGGCCTGCCCCTCCCCAGGCCCACATGGCCCTACACCCTCCTCGGTTCCTACTGAGCCCTCCCCAGGCCTGTTCCCCAGCCCTGGCCCTGCACCTGGGCCTCGGTGAGGACCTCGACGCCACAGGCTCGGAAGAACTCCTTGGGCCTCAAGGCCAGCTGCTCAGGCTGTGCGTCCAGGGACTGTGGGAGAGGGAGACAGCCATCCTGAGGTGGCGCCAGGCGGCACTGTCGCATTCCACGACAGAGGACCCCCACCTCCCACCTTGCTGAGCTTGGGCCGGTCGTAGGGGAGGTGCCGGTCCAGCGTGCACAGGACGATCCTGTCCGAGAAGCCCTCCTGCCGCAGCGTCTCGGCACACACCAAGCCAGCTGCACCTGAGGGGAGGGGAATGTGAGTCAGGGACCCCCTTTGCCCTAATCCCACCCTGCCCCTCCTGACCCCACCACCAACCTGCGCCCACAATGAGCACATTAGTGCTGCCGCCGTGGCCAGCGCTTGGAGAGATGCACTTGGCCATCATCTTGGTCCTTCGTTGCAGCTGCAAGGCCTGGGGGTGGCCAGGGAGTCGGGGGAAGCTGGGATCTGGAGTGACGACCATCTTCCTATGCCATCATCCCAGCAGGCCAGGTCCTGCTATTCCAGTCCAACCTCATCCCCTCTGTGCAGCCCTTCACTGTGCTCCCCAGCCACACATGTTGCAGTTGCTCCCACCGCAGGGCCTTTGCACATGCTGATCCCTGGGCCAACATGCCCTCCTTGCTTCTCCCTTCTGCCTGAGCCCCAAGCCACCCCCTCACCTGCTTGCTGGCCCGGACGTACACCTTCTCCTTCTCAATCTTCACCTGCAAGGGCTAGTTCCTTAGAAGCAGCCTGGGGGTGCTCTGGCCCCTGCCTGCACCCCCAGGCTCCCACCCCACTGCACACCCCGCCCCACCTGGAACTTGTGCAGACTGTCCAAGCCAGGGAAGTCCTCCAGGTCCCCAGTGCTGATGTTGAAGCAGGCGCCATGCCAGGGGCAGCGCACCCGGCCGCGGGACAGCACACCTGGGGAGGCAGTGCTGGGCCAGGACCACCAGCAAGAACTCCTCCCCAGGGATCCCTGTGTCCCAGTACCTGCAGGCCTTTCCCCAGAGCCCAGGAGACCCCACTAATAGATAAGGGCCCAGGAAGGAGCCAGGCTGGTGTGGGGCCTGGTGGGGCTTGGGTGTGAGCCATCCCCTTGTGATGGTGCCCCAGTCAAGGCCCCTTCAGGGGCACCCACGCCCTCCTCCCATGTGCACCAGGACAGCTCACCTTTCACCAGAGGTGCACCATAGTGTGGACACTTGTGGCCCAGGGCGTGGAACTCCCCGTTGTCCTTGACCAGCAACACCTTCCCCCAGCCCAGCTCTACTTCCCGCATCCTAAGGAGGAGCTGTACTCAGGGGTCAGGCCAGACGCCAGGCACCACCTCCTGGCACCTCCTCCCAGAGTCCAGCCTTCTGGGAAGCAGGCCGAGACCAGCAGAAGCCACAAGGCGGTGGCTGGGGTGGGCGCTGGCCAAGGGCCCCTTCCAGGCTTTGTGACCTCCCCCAACCCTAGCCTCCATCTTGTGCCCTCCCACCTCGGGCCCTCTGACCCCCTCCCAGGCCCAGCACCTACTGGCCATTCTCAAGGTCCTTGACATGGCAGATGGCAGCCTCCACACAGTCCTGCGCTCCAGGGTAGGGATGAGGGGCGGGCAGGCGCTCCTCGGTATGGAAGTGGCGGGCTGTGCCGTTGCCCTGGTAGGCCCGGGGGCTGCCCTTCCCACTGGCTGACAGCTCGTCCTTGCCCCGCTCCTTCTCCGGCAGCACCACCTCGATCTTGAGTTCCACTGTGGGCAGGTGGGGCAGCGCTGTGAGAGCCCAGCTTGGTCACCTCCTCGCCCACCCCACAAGCTCGGGGTGGGGTGGCCCCTCTGAGTCTGGGCTCTCCCCTGCACCTCCATCTATCCAGAAAGCCAGCTACACCACCTGAAAGAGCCTTAAAATTAGCAAGAGGAAGCCAGGGTAGTTGGGGCAGGGGGCATGCTGGGTCACCTTAAATTAATTTCAGAAGGTTATCTTTTTCAGTAACAAAATTACGGAGGGGTGAACAAACGAAGCTCCGTCAACCTTGAAGCTGCCCTTTCTCCAGGAATCAGTGTGGAGGAAAGGCCCTTGGTGCCCCGAGTTTTGCTCTGATTCTGGCAATTCATTAGGCCTTCTACAGGCCACAGGTGTTACGTGCAGGCTTTCCCTCTTTGCCGTGGCTGCCAGGAGGCTTGGAGCTAACCAACAAACCACTACGACCCAACTTCTAATCTAGGTTATGTACGTTATTTCCTCCGGTATTAACCACTACTGAAGAGGTAGGTGTTACTCTGTTTTATAGTGAAGGCATCTGAGGTCCAGAGGAGGTCAAGCAGGGGCCCACAGCCACGTGGGTGGCTCAGAACCCCTGGACGAGGGATGAGTCTGCTCTGTGGGTGAGCAGAGGTCCTCTTGCCCCTTCCTGCCACCAGCCTGGACTTGACGGCTTCNGCCTCCGCCCGGGGCCGCCCCGAGGGACTACATTTCCCGGCGAGCCCTGTGCCCACCGCGAGACACTTCCGACCCGCGCGGCTCTCGCTTCCCGACAAGCCTAGCGGTGCCGGCGACTCCGCGGGCCGGCGCGGCGGCTGCGACGCGTCCCAGCGGCTGGCGTGTAACCTTCTCGGAAGCACTTCCCGAGAAGTACGGGCGCCCAGCCGCCACTTCCAGTGACCGCAGCGTCCACTCCCCAGCCCCGTAGGGAACGCACTTCCCGGTGCCGGTCAGGCTCACGCTGCCCGGAGTTCCCGGCATTCCCTGCCTGCGCGGGGCTCGGCCTTGATCGTCCGCCGCTCCCGGGACCCCACGTGGCGGGTTCCGGGCCCCCGGCGGCCTACGTGGGAGCCAGCCTATTCCCTTCCTGCTTGCGCCCCCAGTTCTGGCCCCCGGCGGCCTCCCTCAGCATTCCTATTGGCTGAGTGCCGCAAAAGCTCTCCATTCTCTCTCTCACTTAATAGCAGAGCCGCAGTTTCTCTGGATTCTCAGTCTAGTCAATAGCACAGCCTGCAAAATGGAGATTCAGAAAGCTCTGCCTGGCCTGAGAAGAATGGTGTCCATCTCAGGACCCAGGTCCTACAGCCCCAGGTGGGCAAATGCCCCAGACTGCCAACGGGAGCTGCCTCCGACCTCTGAAGAATCACTGCTCATCTCAAGACCTTTGTGCGTGCTGTCCCCTCTACCTGGAGTGCCCCTTCTTCAAAATCCTGATCCAAGACACTGCTTAGAAAAGCCTTCCCTAACGCCAGAAGCAGAATCAGTTGCTTCCTCCTCTGGGTGCTCATAACCCAAATTTCCCTAGTGTGGCACTGAGCATTCATTCTGCGGTTGTGCCTGTCTCCCCGTCTTTTGCTTTCTCCCTCATGAGTGTGCCCAATTACAGTGGAAGTCACACAAATCTGCAAATGTGTGCGTTTTAATTTTAAGATAATGTCTAATGTGTTGCAGGGTCCTACAGGGGACTGGTCCCAGTACAGGGAGACAAGGCAAGGCCTGTCCCGCCTCCACTGCCAGCCATCAGTAGCAGCCCAGGCCTTGCAGGGGAAGCAACTCCTGGAGGCAGCAATGGCCTCTGTGGAGGTGAGCCAGGCAGCCCACGGCAAGCACTGGGAGGGCTCAGGTTTTGCCCTGGGGGAATCCTGGGAAATTGTGGAGGTTGGCACCTGCCCCCAGGACTTGGTGTCTGTCCCTGGTGCCCCAGGGTGCCTGCCCAAGTCTGCTGCATGCGAACTCAGGATCCTTTCCCTGTGAGCCAGGACATGTCGCCGGTCCTGCAGGAATGAGGGAAGGAGTCAAGACAGAAGAGAGCAGGTTCCCCACTGGGCACCACGAGCAGCTAGCTGGTCCTTGAGGACAGCAGGGGGCTGCTCTGTGCCAGGCCCTGGTGCCCAGCAGAGATGTGGACTTGGGCAGAGGAGGGGTAGACCGTTTGGTGCAGGCTCTGGGCTGAGGTGGGAAAGGCTCAGAATGGTCAACAGGAAGCAGACGACCACATACTTGCTGTGCAGCACAAACAGCCTTTTTGAAGGCAAGAGGGAGAGACAGAGAAGGCCAGGGAGAGAGCATGTCATTCATCATGTCCCCTCTGAGTTCTCTGTTGTTCCTAACCTGAGACCTGTTCCTATCCCACGGACTCCATGCTTTCCCCAGTCAGTCCCTGGGAGCTCTGTAGGTAGGCTGAGTCCACAAGGTGACTCCCACTGGCACCACGACCAAATGAGGTAATGGCTGGTATCCAGTGTCCCCCAGATGGTGAACAACTACCCTACATCTCTGTGCAGGCCATCTCCAAGGGTATCATTAGCTGAAGTTTCCCACCTAGCTTCTGCAAGGCTCAGCACCACCATGTGCAGTCAGGTGTCTCGGAGCAGGTGCCTGCTCAAGCAGTGGGCCTTGACCCTTCCCACAGCGCTGGCCCTGCCTTGGGATACAGCCTCTTTCCCTTCTAACCCCAAGAACTGATCCAAGACAAACAACCAGTGTATTCCCAAACCACAACCCTTGCCCCACACCACCCCATAGCCCTGATGCCCCACAGACTGCTGGGGACCAAGAGTGGGCAGAAGGGTCCTGGAATGCTGTGGGAACAGCTGGCTGCCATGAGTAGCTTGATACAGTCCCTTGGGGGACTTCTTCCCCACCCCCAGGCCTCCGATGCCCACACTCACTCCACCTCCCGCTTCCGGATGGCACGGCCTGAGGCCAGCACCTCGGCAACCTTGGACACGATTGGATCGTAGTTCATGCTGGCAACCGCGATCACCTCGTCGCCTCTGCAGGGAGAGGGTGGCTGGGCCTGAGGACTGCCCAGCAGCAGCCCCTCTTCTTGGAGACCCTGATGCACTTCTGTCCTGGGGTCCAGGGAGGAATCTTACCCGGAACAACAGTAACGCCCTGAGCACTCAGCCCTCCTGGCTTTGCCTTTTAAGGCTTGGCCCAGAGTGGGCTTTGGGGTCCTTGCACGACCCTCGCGGAGGCTCCAGCCTTCCTCCTCAGTGGGGTTGCCAGGGCTGGGCTCCCATTCTGGGATACCCACTCCCTTTCCTCAGTGTAAAAGCAGGTGTCGCACCCATTTCGGTGTCCTTAAGTTAAAACACCCTTCCTCGGTGCGTGGCAGCTGGCGTGATCACTGCCCCATTCCTCACCTTTCCGCCCCGCGCCTCCTGCCTAGCTGCCTCCCTTTGCCGCTCGGTCCACCTCTCAGGTACGCCCCCTCCTCTGGAGCAGGGCTTCTCCGGAGTGAGGTCCCCTTCCCGACCGAGCTCCCGCTGCCTGGCGCCCCGCTCCACCCGTTGTTCTCACTTGGTGTAAAAAGCCACGAACTTCAGCTCCTCCAGATCCCCCTGGATGATGACGTCGTCGAAGCCTTCTCCGTACCCTGCGGGCCGGGCAGGCGGGCGGCGATCACGTGAGCCCGGCGCAGGGGAGCGGCGCCCCCGCCCCCAGCCAGTGACTTGAGCATCCATGGCCCCGCCCCCGATCTTCGCCACACCTCGGCCCCGCCCCCGCCCGGGGCCCCCGTTACCCGCGTAGCGCAGGCTCCTGCCGAACATGGCCGTCCACAGGTAGGGAACAGTGCTGATCTCCGCCTCCTGCGCCAGCATGTTCTGGGCCGCCACCCGCCCTGCGGGACCCGAGGTGGTGAGGGCCCCGACTCTAGCCCTCACCACCCCTACACTGCCTGGCCACATCTCTGGGGACTGACCCCCACCTTGTGGGGCTACTTCTCAACTCCGGAGAGGTCAAGTCATCGTTGCTCAGCCCGCGGCGCGCCCTGGGTTGCAGCTGATTGGTGCAGAGGGGACACCTGGCTCCAAGCTAGCCACTTAGATTGCTTCTCTAGAGAATTTGAACGGAAACGTGGGGTTGTAGGGTGCCTGGCAATTTCAGGTGTGCTCGCAGACAGCTAATCCGACACCTCAGGTCTGAAGCGGGAGGCAGGAGGTCGGAACACAAGTGTCCAGGGAAGGAGACAGGACGGCCACTCCCCAGGGCCCCGGAGAGAACATCAGGGTGGTGTCCCAGTTCATAGGCGGTCCCTGCACCCTTTAGCCGGACGCCTGAGAGAACCCCCTGGACATCCCGGTTAAACCTCACTCATACCCGTCTGACGACAAGCGGCCTGTGGTTCCTTAAAACCTAGCACCAACTTTAGACCTTGGACCTAAACGAAACTTGGTACCCGGAGTGGAGTTTCTGGCAGTAGACACTCAGATAATGTGAAGGCAGAGGGCAGGGGAGGGGCAGGGATTCCGATGCCCCCCCTGGGGCAGCTCGCTTGCTGTCACCAGCAGCTTAGGGGCCCAGACCAGCCGTGTGCAGTGAGGGAGGCTGCAGAGGCTTGGTGACCCGCTGCGGGGGGTGGGGGTGGCGGACGCATTCCTCAGAGGGCACAGCAGCTCCCCACTGAGTCCAGGCTCCCAGGCCCAGAGGGCAGCGCCCCAGGGGCCTACATGAAGCCAGAGCCACAGATCCAGTCAAGTGGCCCATTGGAGACAGAGGCACTCAGTGGGGAGCTGGCCCATGTCCTTCTACATCCCTTTCCTCTCTCCCCAGGTGCCTGAACAGGGGGGTGAGGGATTGTGCAGAATGTGTGTCTGTAAGGACAAAAGGACAGGAGAGGCTGGTGGAAGGGTGGCCGGGCTGGGGCACTTCCCTGGCTGGATGGGGTGTCCTCGGGGTGCTGGAAGGAGGGCTCTGGAGGTGGGCCACAGGGCTTGCCCTGAGCTGGCTCTATCGCTCCGATAAGGCTGGACACACAGGCCACCACAGAGCCTGCAACGACTAACCCAGTGACCAGGACCCAAGGCCAGCAATGGAGGGGTGGCAGAGGGGAGGCTGAGACTCCAGGACAGCCTCCCGCCCCTGACCTTGCCATGGGGCTGGCCATACCCTGCGCATGAGCCATCTGCCAGTGTGGGATATTCACTTTCCTATTGTTCCTCCAGGCCAAGGGGAAGGTGACAGCATCGCCAGCCGCAAACACGCCTGGAACATTGGTCTGCATCATCTGTGGGGACAGGGTTGGGGCTCTGCATCCCAAGATGGCCTGCACCCGCCACCCGGCCCCCAGCCCAGCACCCTGCCAGCCCCACCCAGCCCCACCTTGTTGACTGGGATGAAGCCCCGGGAATCCAGATCGATGCCACTCTGCCTCAGGAAGCCCGTGGCGGGCACAGCGCCTGACAGGAGAGGGGCCTTCTGCTCCCTGGTCTCCCCCTGCCCAGAGCCTATGTGCCCTCCATGACCCACAGTGCAGTCCAGCGGTCCAGCCCCAGATGGCCGCCCAACGGGCTGCCCGCCTGCAGGGCCTTCATGTGCCTGTCCCCTCTGCCCGAATGCCCACAGATGCCCATGCCTCCCATCAGGCCTTAGGCATCATCCCCTCTGAGAAGTGCTCCATGAAGCCTGCTGGGGTGGCAGGTCAACATGCCATGGCTCCCCAACCCCTGTGCTGCCTCCTCCCAGCTTTGTCCCTGCCCAGACTGGCACTTCAAGTGGACCAGGGGTCAGCCTGAGGCTTGTGTCCCCCACCTGCACAGGACACACAGGACAGGAATCAAGTGTTAGTGGGCAGTGATCATTGGGAGCACCCTCTATGCCAGGCCTGGGATAAGGCTGTTATGCCCATTCCCCATGTGAAGTGGATACAGTTGGGGTCCCCATTTTAAAGACGGGGAAACTGAGGCTCAGGGAGAGGAAGGGACTGGGCCAAGGTCACTCTCAAGCATGTGCCAGTGGTCCTACTCACTAGCACCCACTGTCCACCCACTCACCAATGCCCACAACACAGACGTCAGCCCGCACGACCTTGCTGCTCTTCAGCACGACCTCCTTCAGCTGTGGGGAGGGGGCAGGTGAACAGATGGGCCAGCTCCACGGCACCGTGGGGAGGGGACTGAAAGTGGCAGGGGGCCGGGAGAAGGTCTCACCTTTCCTTCCTGGGCCCGCAGCTCCAACACCTCCGTTTGCATGTAGAATTTGACCCGGTTGTTCTCAAACATCTGTCAGAGCAGGTGGGCAGGTGATGAGAGCTCAGCCGGAGGCCGAGCTGGGCTCCCAGGGTTCAGAGGGTTCAGAGGGTCCAGGTGCTAGGGTGGGCTCACCTTCATGAGCGCGCGACCCACACGCTCCCCCAGGAAGCGCTTGAAGGGTGTCTCCTCCAGCTCCACCACGGACACTGAGTGCGCCTTCTCCACCAGATAGGCAGCGACCTCCATCCCTGGGGCCAGGGTGGTGGGCAGTGGGTTGGCACCCGCACTTCCCAGGGTCAGGGTGCCCTGGGACTGGCCACCGTGGCCTGAAGCCCTGCCCCAGCTGCTCACCCAGGAAGCCGGCCCCCACGATCACCGCACTGCGGCCCCGGGCCAGCCTCACCACGCGATTGGCATCATCGGGTGTCCGGATGGTGAACACGTTCTCCACCTCTTTGCCTTTGCAGCTCAGAGTCTTAGGGCTGAGATGTGGCCAGTGTCAGTGAGGGGCTCCTGGCACCCCAACCCCTCCCGTCCTGGCTGATGTCCTGTCCAGTGTAAACGGGGTGAGGGAGATCCCCTCCCACCTGCTCCCCGGTGCCAGCAGCAGCTTGCTGTACTCCATCTTGAAGCCGTCCTTGAACACGACTTTCTTGTTTCTCATGTCCACCGTGACCACCTGCAGCCCCCGCCGCCAGGAAGACCACGGGCCTGGGCATGGAGCTGGGTCTGGCCACCCAGTCCTCCAGAGCCCAGCCAGCTTCTCCGGGCCACCCCCCAGGGGCCGTTCCTTCCCCTGGGCACTCTTTCCTCCCTCACCTGGCAGCTCCTTCTCACCCTGTTCAGAGTTCACCTTCCCCTCAACTCCCTCCCTGCGGTCCCGAGGTTCACCAGTGCTCCTGCCCTGGCCCGGGCACACAGCCATGCCCCCACTCACTGGGACTCTGCATGTCCCCACCAGGGAGCTCATCCAGGGCTGTCCCCAGGCCTGGAGCAGCCCCAGGGGCCTGGGAGGCCAGGCCAGGAGGGCAGAGCATGGCCTGCCCCTCCCCAGGCCCACATGGCCCTACACCCTCCTCGGTTCCTACTGAGCCCTCCCCAGGCCTGTTCCCCAGCCCTGGCCCTGCACCTGGGCCTCGGTGAGGACCTCGACGCCACAGGCTCGGAAGAACTCCTTGGGCCTCAAGGCCAGCTGCTCAGGCTGTGCGTCCAGGGACTGTGGGAGAGGGAGACAGCCATCCTGAGGTGGCGCCAGGCGGCACTGTCGCATTCCACGACAGAGGACCCCCACCTCCCACCTTGCTGAGCTTGGGCCGGTCGTAGGGGAGGTGCCGGTCCAGCGTGCACAGGACGATCCTGTCCGAGAAGCCCTCCTGCCGCAGCGTCTCGGCACACACCAAGCCAGCTGCACCTGAGGGGAGGGGAATGTGAGTCAGGGACCCCCTTTGCCCTAATCCCACCCTGCCCCTCCTGACCCCACCACCAACCTGCGCCCACAATGAGCACATTAGTGCTGCCGCCGTGGCCAGCGCTTGGAGAGATGCACTTGGCCATCATCTTGGTCCTTCGTTGCAGCTGCAAGGCCTGGGGGTGGCCAGGGAGTCGGGGGAAGCTGGGATCTGGAGTGACGACCATCTTCCTATGCCATCATCCCAGCAGGCCAGGTCCTGCTATTCCAGTCCAACCTCATCCCCTCTGTGCAGCCCTTCACTGTGCTCCCCAGCCACACATGTTGCAGTTGCTCCCACCGCAGGGCCTTTGCACATGCTGATCCCTGGGCCAACATGCCCTCCTTGCTTCTCCCTTCTGCCTGAGCCCCAAGCCACCCCCTCACCTGCTTGCTGGCTCGGACGTACACCTTCTCCTTCTCAATCTTCACCTGCAAGGGCTAGTTCCTTAGAAGCAGCCTGGGGGTGCTCTGGCCCCTGCCTGCACCCCCAGGCTCCCACCCCACTGCACACCCCGCCCCACCTGGAACTTGTGCAGACTGTCCAAGCCAGGGAAGTCCTCCAGGTCCCCAGTGCTGATGTTGAAGCAGGCGCCATGCCAGGGGCAGCGCACCCGGCCGCGGGACAGCACACCTGGGGAGGCAGTGCTGGGCCAGGACCACCAGCAAGAACTCCTCCCCAGGGATCCCTGTGTCCCAGTACCTGCAGGCCTTTCCCCAGAGCCCAGGAGACCCCACTAATAGATAAGGGCCCAGGAAGGAGCCAGGCTGGTGTGGGGCCTGGTGGGGCTTGGGTGTGAGCCATCCCCTTGTGATGGTGCCCCAGTCAAGGCCCCTTCAGGGGCACCCACGCCCTCCTCCCATGTGCACCAGGACAGCTCACCTTTCACCAGAGGTGCACCATAGTGTGGACACTTGTGGCCCAGGGCGTGGAACTCCCCGTTGTCCTTGACCAGCAACACCTTCCCCCAGCCCAGCTCTACTTCCCGCATCCTAAGGAGGAGCTGTACTCAGGGGTCAGGCCAGACGCCAGGCACCACCTCCTGGCACCTCCTCCCAGAGTCCAGCCTTCTGGGAAGCAGGCCGAGACCAGCAGAAGCCACAAGGCGGTGGCTGGGGTGGGCGCTGGCCAAGGGCCCCTTCCAGGCTTTGTGACCTCCCCCAACCCTAGCCTCCATCTTGTGCCCTCCCACCTCGGGCCCTCTGACCCCCTCCCAGGCCCAGCACCTACTGGCCATTCTCAAGGTCCTTGACATGGCAGATGGCAGCCTCCACACAGTCCTGCGCTCCAGGGTAGGGATGAGGGGCGGGCAGGCGCTCCTCGGTATGGAAGTGGCGGGCTGTGCCGTTGCCCTGGTAGGCCCGGGGGCTGCCCTTCCCACTGGCTGACAGCTCGTCCTTGCCCCGCTCCTTCTCCGGCAGCACCACCTCGATCTTGAGTTCCACTGTGGGCAGGTGGGGCAGCGCTGTGAGAGCCCAGCTTGGTCACCTCCTCGCCCACCCCACAAGCTCGGGGTGGGGTGGCCCCTCTGAGTCTGGGCTCTCCCCTGCACCTCCATCTATCCAGAAAGCCAGCTACACCACCTGAAAGAGCCTTAAAATTAGCAAGAGGAAGCCAGGGTAGTTGGGGCAGGGGGCATGCTGGGTCACCTTAAATTAATTTCAGAAGGTTATCTTTTTCAGTAACAAAATTACGGAGGGGTGAACAAACGAAGCTCCGTCAACCTTGAAGCTGCCCTTTCTCCAGGAATCAGTGTGGAGGAAAGGCCCTTGGTGCCCCGAGTTTTGCTCTGATTCTGGCAATTCATTAGGCCTTCTACAGGCCACAGGTGTTACGTGCAGGCTTTCCCTCTTTGCCGTGGCTGCCAGGAGGCTTGGAGCTAACCAACAAACCACTACGACCCAACTTCTAATCTAGGTTATGTACGTTATTTCCTCCGGTATTAACCACTACTGAAGAGGTAGGTGTTACTCTGTTTTATAGTGAAGGCATCTGAGGTCCAGAGGAGGTCAAGCAGGGGCCCACAGCCACGTGGGTGGCTCAGAACCCCTGGACGAGGGATGAGTCTGCTCTGTGGGTGAGCAGAGGTCCTCTTGCCCCTTCCTGCCACCAGCCTGGACTTGACGGCTTCCAGCTTGACTGCATCAGCAGACGCCTTGGGGCTTTCTGGAAGGGGGTGGAGGGTGCAAACAGCCTGGCCTGGCTGTTAGCTGGGCCCCTGCCAGCCTTCCTCTCTACAGCTTTCATAGCTGGTGTCAGCTGCATCCAGAGTATTTTTCTTTTTAATTCTTTTGAAAACATTCTAACACCATTACACAGAGTGAGGAAAATGCAGGAAAAAACACACCCCACCCGAAAATCCCCACCTGCCACAGCAGACATCCAACATGGTGGTGTGCTCAGCGCCCTTCCTGCCCAGCTTGGCCACGGAGTGAACCTCCCTGCCCCCTGTCAGGCCAGCATGTGAGGATAAGGGGCTGGGGGCCTGTCCTCCCAGGCTCCCGGGCCGGGCCAGGCCAGGGTGGAGAATTAGCACGGCGTGAGGGAGCACGTGGGGGCTGGCAACATGTGATTTGTGTCTGGGTGGGTGGGCAGGAATGAGCCAGGGCCGGGAGGGGTGGCCGCCTGGGCCCAGGGAACTGCACAGGCAAAGACCCGGGGGTGTGACTTTCGGTCCTTTGCTTCTGGAGTGTCAGGCCTGAGGCAGAGGGAATGAGAGGCAAAGCTGGGAGAGCCCAGAGACTGGTGCCCCGGGATGGGAGAGGTACCTCCTGTGCCCGCTTAGGGCCCACGCTGTGCCAGGGGCTTAGCTTCCATCACTCAGCCGCCTTCCCTGCAGCAGCAGCCCAGGAGGCCGGATTATCACTGCTAAGAATTCTGTTTTTTGTTCCCTTCTAATTAGAAAAATACCCCAAGCACACTGTAGGGAATTTGGAAAATGTGGAAAAGAATAGAGAGAATAACAATCTCTAGCTAACTCCCCACTAGTGTAGGCCCCATGGGTGCTCTAGGAGAGGGTCTTCTGGTTGGAAGTTGGGGAGGTGGGTCCTGCACCCTCTATGTGCAGGCCCTATGCACCCCCCTCCGGGGTGGGGTTCACACCCCAGGCCCCAGACCCTTGCACATGAAGACACTGAAAAACCAGCCATTGGTAAGTGATGAAGGATCCTCAGACTGACGAGAATAACTGTATTTTAAGAAGTTGAAAATATGTTGTGTACACTTCTTTTCCCAACCTATAGGAAAGTTAGAAATACAGAATCACAAACCCTGGATTCCCATCACCCTGATTCACCAGTGGGATTGAGCTGCACTCGGTTTTGCACGCCCTGTTTGAACTTGAGCCAGACCCTAAGTGTGCCCCTGATGGGTCAGGGATGTCCTCGTCCTCTGGTGGGGACTGATTTGGAGGCCCCTGCTTGAGCCCCTTTGGGCCTCAGGTGCCTTCATTATAAAGCAGAGGTAACAGTGCCCACCTCTTTGGTGGTAGTGAATGTGGAAGGAGATAATATATATAACCCAGATTAGAAGCTCAATAGAGGAAGTCAGGGACTAGTGTTTTATTGGTTAGTTGTGAGCCTCCTGGCAGCCATGGCAAAGAGGGAAAGCCTGTAGGTAGCACTTGTGGACTGTAAAAGGCAGGTGACCAGATGCCAAGAGAGCTGCCCTTTCTCCTAATTCTGAACTTACAAAGGGTCTGGCCCAGAACACTTCCTATCAGGAACACAGCCACCAGAGCATGAAGAATACACAGGGAGCTCAGGAAGTGTGTGCTGACGTGCTCTAAGCCACAGAGTCAAGTAAGCTAGAAAGTGAAGAATTTCCACCAACATACAATGCTTGCTCTGGTCTCCCTATGGCCCCTGTGGGCCCCAGCTGAATTCTCATGTTCCAAACACACCCTGAAATTCCCTGAGCCTTACCTCTGATCTGCCCAGTGTGAATGTCTAGGGCCTAAGGTCCTGCCCGCCTGCCACAGACTCACAGGGGAATCGTAGTGGCTGGGAGCGTTTTGCAACCATTATATGTGCCTGCTGTGTGCTGGGCCCTATGCAAGGCAGAGCAGCCTGCATAGTTATTAACCCCATCTTACACATGGGAACACAGAGGCTCAGAGAGGTGAAGTCACTTGTCCAAGGCTACACAGGCAAGAAAAAACCATGTTAGATTTCAGCTCAAGAGCCTAAGTTCTTAGCAGTGCCCCTGGAGTGGTAAGTGGCCAGTCCCAGAACCGGGATCCTGGGACGAGAGCTCTCAGGCAAGCTACCCCACTGGGGTCCTTTGAAAAAAGCCACGGGTAGAATTTTCTGCCCAGTATCTCTCGCCTGCCCAACAGTCCTTCAGGAGCCCAGTGTGGGACCAGCTGGCTTCCTTCTGTCCACTTCTGATGGAGGAAGGCTGAGGTCAAGACAGTAGACAGCATCTGCCCAAGCCACACGCAGAGGCAGGGAGCGCAGCGGGCCGGGCCCAGGGCTAGTGCCCGCAGCCCAGAGTGGGAGGAGGGAGAGCCCCTCCTGGGGCGGGTGCAGGGGGCCCTCGGTCTGGCGGGGCACCGCAGGTCTCCTCTCGCCCCCATGTCCTCCCTCAGACGCAAGAAGAGGGGAAAAGGTTCACAGGCTCCAAGGTAATGGAGCCGATGGGTATCAGGTAAGGGGCGCTGGCCGGGAGCGGGGGCACTGGCCGGGCACTAGGGAGGCCTCCCTGGCCTTGGTGTCCTGCTCTGCGACAGGCCTGCGGACCCTTGCCTTCCTGGGCGTTGTGAGGAGGGAAGAGGCGAAGTGGGGGCTGAGACAGCCTGACGGGGTTCTCCATAGAGAGGGGACCTAGACCTGCACCAGTACCCTGGGAGGCCCCCACCCTGGGCTGCAGCTGCTTGGGCCGGGCTGGTGGGATTTCCTGTGCAAGTGGAGCAGTGAGCCCCCCCCTGAAAGGCTAAGAGGCCCAAGGTCACATGGGGTCAGGAGGGGCGAAGGCGGCCAGGACCTGTCCCCTTCACCCCCACAGTAACTTTGAGAGATAGGCTTATTTTGTAGAGAGGAAAATGGAGGCTCAGAGAGGTAACTTGCACGCCCAGGGTCACAAAGTGGCCGAGGTGTCCCCAGAGACCCCCCACCCCAGCCTTAGGGGACACTGCTCCCCTCCCCCACCCTGCAGCAGGAGGAACCCTCCCCTCCCCTTTCAAAGACTCAGCTGCGACTCCCACCACAAGCACCCCAAGTCCCAAATAAGGAAGGGCACCCAGTGGAGGGGGGCAGGAGCAAGGTTCCAGGCCGCCAACCCCCTCCTGTCTGCAGTGAATTAATATGAGGAGCCTGCCGCCCAGCCCGACCTACTTTGGAGGCAGAGGGGGAAAGGCAGGAGGAGGGGGGGCAGGAGGAAGGAAGGAGGGGGCGGGGGGCCCGAGGGGAGAGGAGGTACCTGGCTTGGGCTTGGAGAAGCACCCGCCCATGGCGAGCGGCCGCAGATGGTGGGGGGCAGGTACACAGACGGTGGGTTGTAGGGGCTCAGGGTGTCCCTCGTGGGGCTGGACCCTCTCGGCCTACTGAGGTGCTGGAGCTGCCTCCAGGACTTTCTGGGGACAGAGGGGATGTCGGTAGGGACCAGGGCTTTGCAGGGGTGTGTGGGCAGAGACACAGATAGATTGGCAGGGGGACTTCTGCAAGAGGCCCAGACCTGAGCTGGGAACTGCTCTGTGCAGGGGACCCTGGACACGCCCCCTTTGAGGCCCTGCAAGCTCAGCATGTCCCCGCCCCCCATTCCTGGGCTGTGCCCACTGTCGGGGGAGCCCTCTGTCCCATCCCAGCCCCACAGCCGCCTTGTCTAGGAAATCCTCCCTGGTTTCTGCTGCCCCCTTAAAATCCTACAGCCTGGGAGCCCTGGGACCCTCCAATCTCTGGGGAGGCCACCGTGCCCGGGGTCAAGCCCCAGGTCACCTTGAGCAGATCAGAGGCCTCCCGGTCCTCAGGCTGCTCCTTCCTGCAATGGGGGCGACATTTCCTTTTCCCCGGGGCCCTGACGCTGGCTGGCAGTCGCTGGATACCCACCTGCTCCAAGGACAGCCACTGCTTCTTGCTCCCAGCCCAGCAGTGGACTGAGGCCTCCTAGTCCTGGAAGGCAGGGCCCGGGGGGCAGGGGTCCAGGAGGCTTCCCAGCCTCCCCCCTCCTCCCAGCGTGCTGTGTCCAGGAGGAGCTGGGGTGGGGGTGGGGGGTGAAGCCAGCCAGTCCACTGGTCCCCAAGGAAACCCAGCTCCACGGTGAACAGAAGTGGGCGGCCAGCCCAGGCCTGATGGGGTTGGGGGAAAGGCGGGCACACAGCCCATGCCCAGCAGCCACGAGCTCCCACCGCCCAACCCCCTGCTCTTCACAAAAGCTCACCAGGCCTATGGCACTGAGGTCATGCCCAAGAGCAGATAGAGAAACTGAGGGGCCAAGGGCTTGCCAAGGTCAAGCAGCAGGTAGGGGCATCTAGGTGGCCTCCCACCCTCCTCCCATCTTAGTTCCAAGATAGGCCAAGTCCCAGGAAGCCCCCATATTACCTGCCAGCTACCAGCCTGGAGAAGGAATTGCCCGGTCAACAAAGAGCTCCCTGCAGCCAAGGTGCTCTCAAGGCCACGGGGTGGGCCTTCCGGAAGATGCAGCGTATAAGGGTGGACTTTGGAAGGCCTGGGACAATAGTTGCCCTGTTTACAGCTGACCTCACCGCAGTCCATCCCACTGTCCTCCCCTCTGTTTCGCTTGGAGGTTCTTCCTGAAGCCTAACTCAGGGTAGGGCTGGGGCCTACATGGTCTGGCCCAGATCCCAGACCCCTGGGTGGCTGCCTGGGAGCCAGAAGGCCAAGAAGTTAGGAGAGGAAGGCTGGAGAATGACTGTTCACTGCCTGGCACCTGATCTTACCTGCCCTAGAGCACCCATTACCGTCCTGGAATTGGCAGCACCCAGAGGCCCCTGGGCACACCCATGCCTTTTCCCTGACTTGTCACTGCCAAGGCAGGCCTGTAAAACCTGGCTGCCACTTGCCTGTGTCCTCCCTGGGCATGTGGGGCGCCTCCCCAGAGCCTGGCTTCACCTCTGGCTCAGCCCTGCCCTCCTCCTACTAGCCCAGCCTCAGGCTTCACCTGCTAGGCCACAGATCCCAGGAAAGCTGGGACCTCAGCTTGCCACCCAATGCCTGTTTGGGCTATTTCCTCCCTTCCCAGGTGCCCAGGTGTCTAGATCCTCTGAGGCCTTGGGCCTGGAAACACTTGCTGGGGGCTGAAACTTCTCCAGGCCTACTGTGTGCAGGCTGGCTTGAGCCTTCCTGCCTCCTGCAGGCCTGGACACCCTCACTCAAAGGCAGAGGTACTTGCTAGTGGCACAGAGGAAGGGGCCCACAAGATTTTGTGGAGTGCCCTCCTTTGCCCACAAGCTGCCCTATGCTGGAAAGGCAGCACAGCGTGGAAGCGCTAACTCCCGGCTCGGCTCAGAGGGGACAGGCTGGGCCCAAGAGCCTCCCCCGCTACCCCCCTAGACCAGCCCCCTCCCTCGGGTCCTGCTCTTCACTGAAGATCCCGCGGGCCCTCCCCGCACCCACGGAGCGGGTGGGGAGACTGCTGCCTAGCTGGGTCCTCAGGGGCTCCCAGACTCCTCAGAAGGGCTTCTGACTCCTCTGCCCGGCACAGCCAAGTTTGGGGGCTCCCCGCCCCCTCCTCCGCTCCCGGACCGCGGCGCAGCGCTCTGCGCACTCTCCCTGGGTTTGCACGTGCGGCTCCCTCTACCTGGGACGCCCTTTCCACCGCCTTCCCGCTCTCCAGGTCCCCCCCGCAGCCCCGCGGCCCTGGAAGGGGGCTGACACGTAGTGGGGCCCCGCGGCGAGCGGGGGGACCGGCGGCGGAGGGGAGAGGACGAGGGGCGCTACGGCGCCCAGCCTGCCTCGCTCCCGGCGGGTGCCGACCCCAGCCCCCAGTGCACCAGCCCCGGGCCAGGACCCCGCGTGCGCGCGCTGGCCCGGAGAGCCGAGGCGGCAGGGCCGGCTCCCGGGAGCCGAGCCAGGATGGCGGGATCGGCGCCGGGGTCCCGGGGGCCGGGGTCCCCGAGGCGGATGCTCACCTGGGCTCTGCGCGGCCCTCCGCTCCGGAGCCGCTCGGGGCCGCGGCCGCGGGGGGCAGGGGGCGGAGCGGGGGCGGGGCCGGCGCTGCGGCGACACTGCGGCCGGGAGGGAGCAGCACCTCCCGCCGGGCCGTGCAGGTGGGGGTGGGCCGGGGTCAGGCGCCCGGCGGCCGCCTTCCACCCGAGAGCGGGCAGTGGGGTCGGGCAGGCAGTCGGGCCCTTTTGGGTGTGGACGCCTTCAGTGGCGGAGTCTGGGTCTCCGGGGATCCACTCGACTCCCAAGGGACTCCCTGCCGGGCCTGCACCGGGTCTGAATTTCTTCCCTAAGTCTTATAAATCATCCATGGGCCTCGTGGGGAAGTTGACTAACTCAAAAATCGCCCCGTGAAAGAAAATCCAAATCATTCTGGACTGCCCTCCCCAGAGATACCTTGACTTGCTTTGTGGGTTCAGTCTCTCAGGTCTCCAAGTGCCCTCCCTCCCCTCTCCTCACACATAAGGTTTATTTTAAAGTATACTACATTTTATCTTCTCCACCTGTCATTATAACGGGAAAACTTCCAGAGTCCCACAAATTATGGTGCACCCTGTTGTGTTGTGTCCCCTCCTCCAGGAGGCCCTCCCAGACCAGCCTCCCTGCACTGACTTGACCAGGCCTGATAATCTTGCTGACTGTCTGGATCTTTATGTGGGGCCAGGTAGAGCTTGTCCCTCCAGCAAACTGGAATTCTAAATGATGCAATCCTGGGAAGGGACTGTCATACCTCCTACTCTGGGTCCTGTTATTGCTTCTTTGGCGACTTGTATTAGGTCCTCTTTTTGACAGTTTTTCCCTTTCTGGGCCTGCTGTCCTCCTGCAAGGATGGCTTCACATGCATGTATTATGCCTTTAATCATCACAGCAGCCTGAGCAGGGAGGGTTTCTTTGCATCACCTCTAGTTCACAGATGGGGAAATGGGTTCAGAGAGGTTAGGGACTCATCTAGGCCACACAGATGCTGGGTGGCAGAGCCATGATCCTAGCAGGCTGACTAGGCTGAGCTGGGGGTACAACTGGGGGGGGGGAGTGGGAGGAGGACGGCCTGCCAGGCTCAGCCAAGGCCCCAGGGTCTCCAGTACAGTGTTCAAGTCCTGCATGTGCCCTTTTGCTGGGGCTGCCTCAGGATACCATGACAGGTGCAGGACCAGGCCTGGGACACAGAATGTACTCAGAATGTAGAGTGGGGACTGCTAAGCTTGGGGTGTCAGAGCTGAGGTTGGGGGGTGGGTACAGGTTAGGGAGGAGGCTGCAAGGAGGCCAACAACCTGGCAAGATGTCCTGACCCAGGGCAAACGCAACCCTGCCACCAGGGAGTCCGTGGCAGCACCCTTGGCTCTGGGGATTGGGCTCAAGGCTATGGCTGCCTCACCATGGGGCCCGAATTGCAAGGTCCCCACAGAGAAAAAGCTGAAACTGAAGGTAGGCTAGCAGTGCAGCCTCGCAGAGGGCCCTCAGACCTGGGTGTGGTGCACAGGGGCCAGGGCATGCAGGCAGATTCAGGAGGTCTCTAGACTTGGGCAGCCTGAGGTCCTGATCTTGCCCCCAGATGACTTGGCACCTACCCAGCTGCCTTGACAATACCCAATGGGGTGACAGCAAAGAAGACAATTGAGCCCCAGGTTGAGATGTAGTGAGGAGACCTGGAGCAGCTGAGAGTCCCAGCCAGCCAGCAGACAGCACAGAGGTAGGGAAGGGTTAGCCTAGGTCTGAGAAGCCGGTGACAGATGATCCCTGGGCTCCCAGCCCTGGAGCACCCCAACCATGCATCAAGCCTGTGCTTGTCCTCCTCCTATCTACCCTCCCTGCCCCCACTGCCCTCAGCCTAGGGTCTCCAAGTCTGGGGGTCCTTTTTTAAGTAAAAAAATGAAGCAGCCCGCAATGTCAATGTTCGGATTGACGCTGGCGCCCCCTGGAGGCCAGTCTGAGGGTCAGCAGGCCCCTCCCTGAACTTTGGGGTTCTGAAGGCAGGGGTTGAGAATAAGGGAATCTTCCCTGATGAACTTAGTTGGATTTCCAGATGAAGAGAAGTCAGTTTAATCAGCTTATCCCAAGGAAATATTGGGGGGCTGATACAGCTCAGCCAACTGAGCTGAAGCCTCCTGTGTTATGGGTCAAGATGGGTGCAAGTGGTGCCCACAGCAACACCATGATTTATTCATTCACGTGGAAGCAGACGTTGGGGGGCTCCAAGGCTGGGGAACCTAGGCCAAGCCTCATCCAGTGGCCTCACCCCTGACTCCCTGGCTTGGTCTGGCTACTACAGATCAGCCTCCCCCCAAGCCCAGGTCTACACCGTCTGACACCATGTCCCCAGCACCCTCTAGGTTCCCTGGGCCTCTCTGGCTCTTCAGAGGCCAGCTCCAGCTCCCGCCGACCTCTTCCGCCCAGCCTTGGCCCTCCCTAAGTTGCGGGCCTACTGAGAGCACTGTCCTGTTCCCAGGCTCTGGGGTTACCGGTCCGGCCAGTCCTCGCGGAGGGAGGGGTAAGTCAGGAGAACTTGACCAGGACATGGCAGGAGTTCATAGGCCAGACCCTTAGGAGTTCACCAGAGATAAGAAGGGCATCCAGCAGAAGGAATGTGTGGGGAGCAAAGGCAAGGACGTAAGATGGCCATTTCAGGGAATTCAGAATGTGCCAGTAGAGGCTGGCTTCAGTGCCGCGCTCTGGCAGGGGCATGGCAGGGAGGTATGTCATGCCAAGGAGCTGGGGGAGCGGTTTCCATCACATGCATCTTTAGGGGAAAAAACAGAGCAGCAACTAGGCCTGCCACTGCAACAGATGGGGGCAGGAGGTCAGGAGATGGCTGGGGCAAGGACTGGAGGGTGGGCCCTGCCCCTGTGGGCCTTGCTTATGCCTGGGGACGTTCTAGCACCAAAAGACTGGCAACAGCTTCAACTCCCCCAAAGACAAGCTGCCTCAGCCACAGGGTGAGATATTGTTCATCCATAATAAAGTATCTACAGAGTTTGCAAAAACATTATAAATACTTTCTTATACACTGTTGGTGAAAGTATAAATGGAGGTAATCCCTAGAGAGGGCAGTTTGGCAATAGATCTCAGCACTGCAAATGCCTAGGGCCTTTGACCCAGCAATCCCACTCTGAGCAACTCATTTCAATGCATCTGAGATTGGAAAGGACTATATGGCTATCCATAGCAGGTTGTTAGATGAGTGACAGTAAGGCCATACCATGGAATACTATACAGTGATGAAAAAGAACAGAATCAATATGCTGATTCACAACAATCTCTAAAACAGATGAGGGAAATAAAGCCAAGCTAAGAACACTAAGTAATCTATGCTACCTTTGTGTGGAGAAAACATTTAAAAAGACTATAGACCAAAGATGGCGGCGTGAGAGGAGAGACAGAGGCTTCCTCCTAAAACTGGACACAATTAGAAAATTTAATTGGCGCAACTAATCCTGAGAGAGCAACAGGAAAGAGGACGGCGCCAGACTGCACACACCTGGAGAAAAGAGCAGACCTCAGCGTTCAGGGTAACGTACCAGAGCTGTGGCTCCGCGGGACCTGAGCCCCTTGCCCACCCCAGCTCACCGGCGGGAGGAAGAGAAATGGAGCAGGGAGGGAGTGGAAGGCCTGGGACTGCTGAATACCTAGCTCCAGAGATCTGCGCTGGGAGCACAAACCTACATTTCATGGTGCTTTCATGATACTTGCATGACTACCGGGTTGGAAAGTTAATACAGGCAGAGTTCCTGGGGAGACTGGGAATCCGGCCGCTTGTGGAAAGCAGGGATCCATATCTGTCTGCTCTGGGACAAAAACTTATACCTGTGTGCCCGGCCCACTGGTTAAGGCAGTGGAGACAGGCACAGGAGCCGGGAGGCAGGGAACAGGTCTTTCCTCCCCCCAGGCACCAGTACCGCTCCCCTGCGACCCCCGACATTGCTTCAGGGACAGAGCAGCTCCAGCGACTACAGATTCTGGACACTAGAGGGCGCCATATACAAACATGAAACGCCAAAGGAACCTGGTCCAGAGTAAAACTATTAATACAACTCCCGAGAAAGATTTAAATGATATGGACCTCCTGACTCTTCCTGAAAGGGAGTTCAAAATAAAAATAATTAACATTCTAATGGAGGTACAGAAATATATCCAAGAACTCAGGAATGAATTCAGGTAGGAGATCCAATCATTGAAGAGCACAATGGAGGGTATTAAAAGCAGGTTGGATACAGTGGAGGAGACGATAAATGAAATAGAAACTAGAGAAGAGGAATACAAAGAAGCTGAGGCACAGAGAGAAAAAAGGATCTCTAAGAATGAAAGAATATTGAGAGAACTGTGTGACCAATCCAAGCAGAACAATATTCACATTATAGGGGTACAGAAGAAGAAGAGAGAGAGAAAGGGATAGAAAGTGTCTTTGAGGAGGTAGTTGCTGGAAACTTCCCCAATCTGGGGAAGGAGATAGTCTCTCAGGCCATGGAGATCCACAGATCTCCCAACACAAGGGACCCAAGGAGGACAACACCAAGACATATAGTAATTAAAATGACAAGATCAATGATAAGGACAGACTGCTAAAAGCAGCCAGAGAGAGAGAAATAAGATCACATACAAAGGAAAGCCCATCAGGCTAACAACATCAGACTTCTCAGCAGAAACCTTACAGACCAGAAGGGACTGGCAGGATGTATTTAATGCTCTGAAGCAGAAGGGCCTGGAACCAAGATTACTTTATCTGGCAAGATTATCATTTAAATTTGAAGGAGGGATTAAACAATTTCCAGATAAGCAAAAGCTGAGAGAATTTACCTCCCACAAACCATCTCTACAGTCTATTTTGGAGGGACTGCTATAGATGGAAGTGTTCCTAAAGTTGAATAGCTGTCACCAGAGGTAATAACCACAGTAAAGAATGTAGAACAGCTAATTACAAAGCAAATTAAATTAACTATCCTCAAAGTCAATTAAGGGATAGACAAAAAGTACAGAATTTGATACCTAATATATAAAGAATGGAGGAGGAAAAAGGAGGAGAAATATAAAAGAACCTTTAGATT